CGGCCCACCTTCACTTCGTCCCATTCTTTGCTCTCCTCTATAGCTGGCTCCACAATTGTCCATAAGCTCTCATCTTCTCCTAATTCGATCTCATCCATGTCACTTCCAGAGCCATGTCCAACTCATTGTTTCCTGTTCAGGTTCCACTTGACGGTCTTCTCAGAGTGTACCCATCGTATCTCTTCTTCCTTCGGCAAATTTATTTGGCCAGCGTCCCCAGATTCCAATGTTTATCAACTTTTCTGGCCGTCTGACTTTCAGTGATGAGAGTGGGCAGCTGTTTATAAAAGTCTGCAGCCTGTTGAAAATACTTTGCTCGACGCATTTGCCAAGTCTTTGAACCATATAGAAGGAATAAAATTAGTGCCTAAAGTCTGAATCTTTCTTCATGTCTATTATTACGGCAGATTTCCATACCGATTTCAGGGTGAGGAAGGTTTGCCTTGCCTTTTGACGTCACCATCCATGTCGCCTGTAACTGAAAACATGAAATCTAGATGACTCAGAGAATTGACGTTGTCCAAATTTCTCTCACTGATAGTGATTAGTGCTTGTTTTTGTTGACGGTTAGGTACCTGTATTGCCTTCATTTTCCGTCTGTTCACTTGAAGTCCTGCCTTCACTGACTACTTCTTCTGGCAAACTGTTGGTTTTTGCTTGTAGCCCTTTGAGTTTGCGTGACATTAGGTAAACATCAATCACAAAGTCCCGAGATTCCAGTGTCTACCCATCAGTCTAATGTATTCCAGTCTTTTCGCTTCTTGTGATACATTACATGATCCAGTCCACCACAATGAGGAATTACATGGATTACCCAGTAACCAGTCTTGTCTTACTCCTATCTTCACTTTAAAAGCTTCGCTGAATACGATATATAGCGCTGCCCTCTAACTGCTGAATGAAGTTGATAAAGGTTTGGGGCAATTCGTAGTGTAGGAGTAGTTTCCGAATGATTTCACAATCAACGCCTTTGAAGGTCTTTTCTGAGCGGATGAAGGTGAAATAGTGGTTTGACCGTCATTCTGTGGTCTTTTCAACGGTGATGTATGGAGTCACAAAAGGAACGACACATGATTTGCCTTACCAGATTTTCCGAGCACATACTCAAAACTTTTCGTGTGTGAAGGACAGCAGAATTTTCTGAAGAGCAATCGCCAGACACCTAAAGACATGGTACAGTGGAGATTGGTCAAAGTTTCTAAATAATCAATACACAAAGAAAACCTAGGTTACTTCGCTTCTTGGAAGTCTCAGCTGTCAGAAGGTATCAACCCAACCTCTGCATACAGAAAGGCATTATGACAAGTCTCTTACTACCCTGCTAACTGTAACCGTTTTGATCGTGTTTTATATGTGTGTGTTTCTGTTGTATAACATTTCACTTGATTTTGATTTCTCTTACTCAGATAAAATCACTAATCAATTACAAATTTTCTCGCTTGTTTCTTTGTGTTCTATCCAGTACTCCCAGGTTTTCTAGTTGTCCTCTAACTGATGTCACCTCAGGATAAAATCCTCCATGCAATCAAACAAAAATCCCTACAAAACCAATACTTGAAAATGAATCTGATGCTCACTAGTGACTGGCCCTATTCAGGAAGTTAACCTGAGGTTCTAGTGAGAAGCCGAGACCAGTAGGGTAGAGCAGGTTGAAGATGAGGCAGTAACTCATCGAAGAAGACATTGTGAAATGGTCGTGCAATGTCGTGAATCGGCAGAAGTTATAATTCAAGTACCATTGGGTTGGGTCCCAGTGGCTCAATGGTCTACGAGCTAGCTCGCGTTGTAACCAGAAGGTCCTTGGTTCGAACCGTGGCGGTGAGTGCGTACTGATTAAGGGTCCCAAACTAGGACGAAACAGCTGTCTGGTGATACTCCCAGGTTTTCCAGTGGTTCTCTAATAGAATAAATCTGAACTCTTGACTCTTCCTCTCATTTGTCTAATGATACTATAAACATTTATCCTCATTTTATCGCTTATGCTTACTGTCTATAGCTCAGGGTCACTTTCAGAAACGTATGTTCAAAGAAAACTGTTTAACTTACTAACACCACTACTGGCCGATATGAGTAGTGTACAGCTACTCTTTTCAATCAGTCAGTAAAAGACAAATTCGGCGAAGAAAATTTTATTTATCGACGAAGTCATCTTCACAGGCTGTATAGTAGTATTTATACTTACAAAAAATGTATGGTGGTCTATGATTGAGTAATAGGGGTAACATAATTGACATAAATACTCAGAAGTGGCTTTAGAAGTAAAAGTTAAAAGTTGTAAAATTTGTATAAATTATGGTGGAGGCGCTGGCAAATCGTCAATACAACCCTGAACTCTTTATACAGAAAAAGTTTGTCCAGTCTCTTATTCTACCTTAGTCTTAACCTCATCACTAGTCGTTCCCTGTAAAAAAATTTATTGTTTTTTTCTTTTCTTTTCTAATTTTTAATTTTATTTTTAGTTTTGCTTTTACTATATTAATTATTTAACTGTTATCACTCCCATAAGCTCCTTCTGTACATTTCGCACCCTCTTCACACTTGTTAAACTGACACTCAAATACCACCTTTATTCTCACTCAAGAGCAATTTTAACCTTACCAAATTTCTATTTCTGTGCCGTTGAGTACCACGTAATTAACAACTTTTAACTTTCACTTCTAAAGCCACTTCTGGGCAATTATATCAATTATTTCACCTCCTATTACTCAATAATAAATCACTATATACTTTTTGTAAGTATAAATACGACTGTACAGCCTGTGAAGATGATTTCGTCGACAAATAATAATAAGTTGCTTTATTCCAGAAACAATATTAGTGGTACAGTGTGGAATTTTCAGCACTTATCTACAATTTTGCATCTAATTTTATCTAACATTTAAAAGGAGTATTTCAAAAAAACTAAATATAAAAAACAACAACAACAAAAACAAAAAAACACAAAATAGCAAAAAAATGCGAAAATATACCAAGAAGTAGAATGGAAAATAAACAACATAATAAACAATATCTCAGTATTGGCTGGTGTAAGCTATGATATGTTTATGCGTGGTGAAACAGTAAAACTATATCATACAAGAAGTTAAGAAATGAGATTAAGAATGTTTATAACCAAGATGATTAGCCAAGTTAATTTGATTGAACAACACTAAACAGTCATAAAATAAACATTTCAGGTTTTTTTTTATTGTCAGCTTTAATGGGGTGTTTGTATTGGTAGTGTGAGTAATCCTGCATAGTACAAAATATTTTAAGATTGTGATAACGGCGTTCACAACCAAGATTGTCAGTTTTAATATAGCCGAACAAAAAACAACCACAAAACTAATATTACATGAAGGTTATAGACAGGACAATTTTGTAATATTCAAAGTGCTAATATAGTCGTGACCAGCAGATACAAAAAAGAAGGAATAGAGTAAGGTACAAAAAAGTAACTCAATGTTAATAATTTAGGTAGCTAAGTATGTTTAAGAAGGTTGTTCACCATAGATTACAAATAAGAGAGAAATAAAAGAGCCAAAATTATGTTATTAACAACAAAGCAAGTCGTAGGTTTCGCGCTTAACATTGTCTCTGTCACTTAGAACACGGGCCAAATATGGTATCGTTGAGTTCCTGTACTTGGTTGTACGAGCATATATTATTTTGTACTGATTTCTGTTTCTACCTGACGAGATATAAGGAGAGAGTTGGGAATAGAGGGGGTGCTAGGGGTCGGAGAGTATGGTGGTTTTAGACCACTTTTCGCATGAATTCATATGCCTCTCTACTAGTGTAGTGACGAGCTAACTGAGTTTTATACCACTAGTTCTACTAACTACCTTCAACATCCTTCTCAGGATGGTATAGTAGTTTTTCAGTAGCCCAGGAAATACTTACGGGGAGCAGTAAAGTAGAATAGGTAAGATACGAGAGTTGACAAATTGTGATAACAGAGATTGGGTGATTCCAGATAGTCTAAGTTTCTTAATGTAGTAGGCTAGACGGAACACTTTTTTAGAAATCGTTTGGATATGAGATGACCATGTAAGGTCGGAAGATAGAACTAATCCGAGGTATATTGCGTTAGACTTGGTCTTAATTTTCTTCGCTGAATTTAAGAACACAATTTTCAGCGAAGAGACTCTTTGTGTTCTTAATGCTACGATGGGAATTATTAAATTAATGAAAAAATTCGCTGAATTTATCTTTTATTTTCTTGGTATCACATTTCTGCGCTTGCTTTCTTGCTTCCTATTTATAGTATCAAGCAGATCACACATTGCAATTTGAATAATTTCGGGGTCGCAAAGGAAACGGTAATGAAATCCCACCTCCTGGAAGTGTTTAAATCTGCAAACTGCTAATTAATTTGCAAAATATCGATTTGATTCATGTAAGTAGCACAGTTGGTCAGAACGGCTACCCAGAATTCGGATGCTTTGAAATGATTCGGTTGTCTCAACTGAGTAAGACCGGCTGAGTACACACTCATGATGAAACGAGCCCCTAAATGAGTGAAATAGCTATCCTGTGTTAAGGTCGCTTTGATCCGACTGGCTGGCCGGCTGGTTGTCTATCAAGTGCTAGTAGTTGATGTCAATGGTATGGAACTACTTATGTCAGTCAGTCAGTCAGTAGTATATTGCTCTACTTGCAAATTTTGACAGTGTTTACAATGCAAGCAGTTTACTTATTCCCCACTACAGAATCTTCTTCAATCTTTATTTATGCATCATTATTCTCTAGACATGGATAGCTGTAAATGCGAATTAATTAGTTAATTAATTATGCAATTAACTATATGCTTACCAGTTAATTTTACTCAGAGTTCAGAGAAGGCAAAAGAATTCAATCCATTGACGTTTTATTTGCACTGAATGCACTGAAAATATTATTCTTATCAATTGTATTGTTTTTACGTTTTTATAACTGCAAAATTTACTTCGTTTTTTAATTATATACATATATAAATATATATATATATATATACATAAAACGAAATCTGAATTTAATTTCAAGAAAACATGATGAATATTAAAATATGGCTGGTCTGTTTGTTACTCTTCCTAAGCTCAGTAACAGCTGCAGCCCCACCAGCATCATCATCATCATCACGACAACAAGAACTACTACCAGGACCAGAAGGACCAAGGGAAATGACAACAAAAACGGAAAAGAAGAAAAATGAAGAAACTGAAGAAACTGAAAAATCACTTTCTAAAAGTACTTCAGACAAGCAGAAATCAGAAAGTAGACATCAATCTTCAGATGATGATAAGGACGTTGAAACATATTTTATTACAGGAAAATCTCAATCAACATATAAAACAAAAGATGCTGGAAAACTTAGAGCAGAAGGCCGATTTCGTTCACGTGGTATTGGTCGTTATGGGACTATATCATCTGAAGGCACTAAGTATAGCATTGAAGGTACTTTTGACAGATATGGTAGAAAAAGGCCTACTAAATCAAAGTTTAAAACATATGGAAGAGAAAAGAGATACGCGAAGAAAATTGTTGATAATAGATTTGATATTAATGGAAAAGTACTTGAAGAACGTAGACATAGAAAAACAGGTGATTATGAAGCTAAGGGGACTCATGCTCGTTTTAATGTTCGGAATGAGGATGAAAAGAATACACGAGATACTTCAAGAAATCAAAATAAAGAAGTGGATAAGTCAAAGAAAAAAGAAAAAACGAAAAAAAAGGAAGTTGAAAAAGAGGAAAACACATTGCCTGTAATTCCGGGAGTATGAATATGTTAACTGTAAATTAAGTAATTAATATTCATTAACTGAAAACCTGTTGTACTAACATTATTAATAATAATAATAATAATTTCCGGTTGATATCATTTATCTAAATACTTTCTTTAATTTCTTTAATTAAACGTATATTATGCTCGTAAGTACTTATCTCATTATTATAATTTTATGGTATGGTAAACAGTTTTCTGTTATTCATTCGAAAATATATTAGAATTTTGTACTAAAATAATGTAAAATTAAAAGAGTATGTAGTAGCGGTTTACTCACATAAATTCACTTATTCCCTAGTAAAATAAACTATTTGAAAGGTTAAGATTAGGAAAGAAAAAAGTTAAACTCTTAGGCCAGTGTTATAAACAACAGATTCAATGTTCAATGCGAAATGATATTTTAAGATTATGTAGGCATTTATTTATTTGCTGAATATTTAACCTGTTTGGCATTGTATGTTGTGTTAACACTGAATCAGAGTTAAGTGTAAAATCCAGTATGCTAAAAGCCGAAACCACTTTTGTACATCAGAAGGTGTTCAGATTTTTTTCAGTGTGCAATAATGCATAATCAAGTGGAATTAAATTTTTCTGCGCTCGATAAGAAAGTTAGAGTGGATGAATTACAAAACTTTTAAAAGATTATTAAACAAGCAACTTAGTGATAACACAGTTTTTATTCAGCAAAGAAATTTCTTTTCAACGACTTCATCTTCAAGCCAACTGTACAGTCGTATTTATATTATAGAAAAAGGTTATTAAGTGGCACTAAATAACAGCTCAGTCAATATACATATATAAGTGATAAGAATAACGATAATTAAAGTGTTATAAGGGGTATAGTTGAAGTGAATGGATTACAAAATTAATAAAGATTGTTTTATAAGTGAATTGATATCAAAAATATTTTTTTTAATGTCAAGTGTTGTCTAAACTTTCTAAAAATTAAGAGTACGATTACGATAAGAATGAAGACGTGAAGTGAAGTGGAATGAATCCAAGTGGTAAAAAATGAAATAAAATAAAAACCAGAAGGAAAACTACTATGAACAAGACAAAGAAAGGGGTTTGACAAAACGTTTTTGAACACATAATGTAGCTTTCTGTTCATGTATAGCTAAAGCTTCGGCTATGCATAAGTGAAAAGAACGTAAACTTTTGGAGCGATTCGATTTTGCCATCTAGATAACCTTGAATGATGAATCAAGTGGGGCTAAATGACCAGACTCTAACTGGTGATCACATATAGGCGACTTCGCACTTAACGCATTAACCAAACCGGATAGTGTTCAGCTACACGTTTTTGGAGAATACGCTTACACCGTCTAATATAATCAGCTCCACAGCAGCAAGTAAAAAAGTAAATACACACAGATGTGGACATAAACGGTAATCTATCCTTGACGCATTGTCTAATCCAATTTCGGCTGGTAAAAGCTAGTTGCCAGTCAGCTGCAGGAAAAGTGCGTTTAATACATTTAGATAAACGATTTTTAATCAATTCTGAAATGGTGTCACCTTGGAATGTAAGACTCATAAACAGTTTTTTCTTTGGCACTGTGATTTGTCTAGGGGTGGATTCTTTCTTGATGTCCCGTTCAATGAACCTTGTAGGATAACCATTGTTAAGGTGATTTGATCGAAGGTTATCTAGTTCACTACCGATTGTCTCTGTAGAGCAGATTTTACGAATTCTGGAGCATAAGGAATGGATAAGATTTCTCTTTCTCCCTAAAGATACCCAACTGTTGAAGTTAGTGTACTGCCCTGTGAATATTGACTTTCGGTAAATCGACCTTAACAGCGAGCCATTCTCTCTTCTATCTAGCTTAACGTCAAGGAAGTGAAATGAAGAATTCGACTCTTTTTCGATCGTCTAACGCGAGGATGGGCGAGAACCATTAGGTATTTCAAGAAGTTCGGCAGTTGAAGAGTTTTCCTCACAGACAATGAAGATATCATCTATATATCTTTTATACATAAACAATAACTTACTTGGTAATAACCATTTTCAAGTTAGTCAAGGGTTGTCAAAAATTAATAGTGTAATGATGATGGTGATGATGATAATAACAATAAAGAAGAACGAAGATGAAATGAAGTGAAATGAATTCTAGAGACAAAATCAAATCCCAAAAAAAAGAACTCTCCCCAGAACAAGGTAAAGAAAGAGATTTAACAAAACGATTTTGAATGCATAGTTTAAATTTTTTTGTTCACGTATAGTTAGGCCTTCAGATATGCATAAGTTAGAGACAATGATGGATAAATCTTGTGCGGCTGAACGATTTGACTGAAGAATGTCTTCGCAAATGAAAGGCTTCATCATTCTATGCTCGCTTCTGTATCAGCTATACCGGGTAGTGATCAACTACGCATTTCTGAAGAACATGCTTACAACGTCAAATGTAATCAGCTTCGCAGAACAATATGGTAGAACAGATTATTCAGAGGATAATTAAAACAATCGAATTGCCTGAGGCAAATGTCATATATTATTATTGTTATTTTGTTCCTTTAAGTCCCAAGTAGAACATGGGGCTTCAACCTTCAGTAGCAGTGATGTTCCTTTTTACGGGGTTGGGTTGTTAGCCTCACGCCAAACCCTCCTTCTATCAGTTGATAGGCCGAGTGAGGTGTTTAGAAGAGAGTTGGTTGGGGATAGAGCTCCAGGCACGACTGTGGCTGGTGGGCTCCCTACCATTGAAGAACTGACTGACAAGGGTACGACACTGCCATATCTAATATGTGACACTAACGCCTCACCACTGAGCTAAATCCCCCCCCCACAAAACTGTTTAATTCATGTTAGCTGGTGTAATTGTATTCCATGACGTGGTTGGATGCAGTAAATGGTATCCAGAAAAATATTGAAAGCTCCACACTTCAGTCATCCAGCTCAGAGAATGCAAATATATCAACACTAGCCACTTGAACTGCAAGTCTAGATCATATCTAAGTCACGTATTTCATGTTACTTCTTAACATGAAATATATATATATATATATGACTTTAGAGTTGCTAATTTCTTCGTTACATTGGCTAGTTGTCTTTATCATTTCTTTCAATGAGTTATTCTACACTCTTCCAATAAAGTTGTTGCAGTGGTAGTTACAGAAATACTCTTTCATATTAGATTATTATTATTATGATGATTGTTCCCTTGGGTCTTAGTGAAACACAGGGCTTCAACTGCACGTCTCCACTTGCTCCTGTCTTCCTTCTGCTGTACTTTTCACCTGCATCCATGTTAGTCCATACTGTTTCAACTCTTCTCTCTTCACACCATCTCCTGCATGTGTCACCCTTGCACTGACATCCCAATCGCCGCTTCCCTTTCGGCCTGGTTACACTCGAGCAATGGCCTGATGCGCGCACGATGTCACCCAGCGGCCTCCTCACTCAGTGAGTGTCCAATCCATCTCAATCCAATTTCTCCTGCATATTTGTTGGTTGGCGATTGGTTCTTGTTTTGTTTGTTTGTTCACACCCATAGTTTCTTGTTGGTGATTCTTTCCGACGTGGCCATCTGATCTTCAGTATAGAGTCAGCGAAGACAGTTGTTTGTTGAGGAAGGTCTGCAGCAGGCTGTTGGAAATATTCTGTGTGACCCACCCGCCAAGTTTCTGATCCGTATAGAAGAACTGACTGACTTGACGTGTTTGTATTGAAAATCCGACTGGATTTTGTTGATGCTGGGTGATTGACGAAGATTTCCAGATTGGTTTCAGGTTGATGAATGTGTTTCTCGCTTTCCCGATTCTCGCTCGATTTGACATCCTCGTCCATTCCGATTGCCTATAGTTGAGACAATGCTCCCTAGATAAGTGAATGGGAGCAGTGATACAATATTAATGACTGGATGACGTTTCGGAAAGAATTTGTTGCTCATAATCATATCAATATACTCCCACGACTTTCTGAATTGTTTCTAATATTCTTACCCACCCACCCACCCTGTTTTTACTGCAATTTTCCCAACCTAACTGACATTCGGGTTATCAGAATGTCTAGATCTAGAATGTCTAATCTTTGGAAACGCTCAACCATCCCTGTACGTATACCCGCCTGTGAACACATAAGACAGTGGAATACGGTAAAAGTAATAATTATAATAAGTAATATAGTCAAGTGGAAAGATAAAGAGAGGTTATTCAACAAATCTTTGTTCATTCAATCAACACTGAAACGACTGCAATCGAAATGATGGAGAAACTATCCCGGATATATGAGAAATTAAAATAAAATACGAAAAAGGATGTAAGGCTGTATAGAGGAAGCTCTGAAGTAGCGTGAACAATAAACTGTGCTCGAGACGTCATTCAGTTAAATAACTCTGTATAATCTTTGTGTATGTTATATCAAATAAACCTATCTAATGATAGGGAATTCGATTCGACCTTCAGAATTTATTTTTTCCATCGAAGCAACTTAATACAATCCACTAACTCATGCTTCTACAAGTGCATTTTAAGAGAAAAATGTACAGAAAGTATTAATGTGACCATCATTAGTTGTGAAATCAATTTTAAGTTTTAATTCATCAGTTAAGTATCCCAATGAACGGAACAGTCATCATTGACAACTTAGATAGAATAATTGACTACAGAGGTTGAAATGGATCTACTAATGTATTCTTTTACTTAATTAGCAGTGGATAAGTTTATCACAAGCCTTTAGTTTCCACGTTAAAGCCCTAGAAAACTGATAATATGATCAGCCATCATACAGTAAACCTGTCACTCACAGTTTGGAACTAAAACGATTACCTGTTCCGGGTAAATGACTTCAAACATACACACAATAAGTTCTAATGCATATGCTAGAGTATTTCTTACTTCACTTTCTCCTACTTTTTTGTCTATTTTGCTATTATACTAAATTGACTCAAGTAGCCGGCTAACTGGGTTTCAGATTTTGGCGTTGATTAGCATTCACTTCACCTTGACATGATGGACCTCATTGACCACGGCTTCTAAATTGGTGTGCGTTGCCGA